AGCAGCTTCTTCACCAAGAACACAGCGAGCACAAAACCAAATGAAATGTAAGTTACCACTGCTAATTGTGCAAGCTGATGTTTACTCTTCAGGGTAGTAAAAAGCATAAAACATTTCTTTAAGTAGCTTCAAATCCAAGTCTCAGTTGTTTCCAGGCAAGGAGCTTACATTCCTTGGTGAGATTAGCTTGTGCTTGAACACAAGCCTCACAGAACAGGCTGCATGCAGTTTAACTCATTTATTACAGAAAATATCAAGGACCAGCACTGGAAAAGAAATCCTCTGCTCATTAAACAGAGACTGCTTACATTTCTACAAGCTTTTTTTCCAATTTTCATGAAGTCTTCCCTCCAGAAACATTCCACACCCACCTGGACACATTCCTGTGTAACATGCTCCAGGTGACACTGCCTTGGAGGGGGGTTGGACTAGATGATCTCCAGAGGTTCCTTCCAACCCTAGCAATTCTGTGATTCTGTAATTACCTTCATTATTTACTTTCTTATCACTGGCAACCTATTACAGATCCTGGAGTATCCAAATATACCAGAAAGTGTAAACTGGAGTCCCTGATAGTAATAGCAGGGGAGAAGAAACAGGGCATAGTTCAATATAATTTTTGATCTTGTCTGTGGAGAAAACATGGGCTTGAAAATATCTAAACCAGACAAAGAAAATCAGGATAATCATATCTTTCACTGTTAAAAATATGCTGGTTTTGCCAGGTTAGCCTGTAGCAGCCTATTGTAGATGCCACATTTCAACCAGGCATGGATTTTCTCTGTATCACAAAAGGACAAGGAAGCCACAAGACAACACATGGCTCAAACCCCAAATGAGCACATCCCCATCCAAAAAGGCTGGTCTGTCTTCTGCTGGCCAAAGCTTCCCAGGAAGATGGACATTCTGCCTGCCCCTTCTCATAAGGAGGAGCAGCCTTGCCTCGGGCATTACTGTACCTGTTACACAATCTGCTGTAACGTGCAGGCAAAAATTAATTCAGAAACAGCCAAATTAACTGTGTACACAGATAATGTGAAGCTTTGTTTCCAATTAGAGAGCCCAGTATCAGCTGCCCAACTACATTATTTTCTTCTGTAACTCTTGATACAGATGTCCTGAATTGCTCCACCTCCTTAAACACTCAAATACTTCACAATTAGTTGAATTGTGGATATGAGTCATCTAATTTCCTTTTCCAGTAAGGGTCACTATTGGAAAATTGGCATACCAAGGCTAAGTAATCACATTACCAATGAAAATAATAACAAGTTCTGTCCTGGTGAATCAGTGCTCTGCTTTTTGCACAGTTTCTTAAAATAAGAATACTATGTACAGCAAATGAAAAGGGGAAACCAACTAAATTAACCTCACTACTCACAATCCATCTTTGAAACCAGAGTAAAGCAGGGGAAAACTCAGTAATTCAATCAAACTGGGGAGGGGAGAAATCCTGAAACACCTTCCAGTAGTAAACTGTGCCACAACACATTCACTAGCAGCAGAAATTGGAGAAATCACTTATGGTCAAGGAAAAATGGTGACAAATTTATCAAGTTCAGCAGTATGAAACCCACGTCTACACCCTGACATAAAAGCTCCACCCTGATCTAAAAGATCTTTAAGGACTGATCAACAACATAAAACGCCTGAATCTGAGTTAACCCTGACTTTTATACCTTTCCTAGAATGCTTACATTTGCTTCCAAATGCAGCATTCTAGGAAGCAAAATACCTTCAAGTACTTAGAAGTGCATTATTAACACACTCCAATTGAGTGCAATTTACTGTCTTTAAAATGTCCAAAGATTATAGAGTATGGACCACTTGCAATGTGAAATACACTTAAAAGGATTGCCCAAAGTGCACAGCTGCCTCAACAGCACCTGATACTCAATATAAATACTGAAACACATTAATATCAAAGGATGATACTAAAAAGAAACCTGCTGAAAACTGGTGCTTTGCTTGCACTTCTGCAGAAAACCTGCAGAAAACCTTGGAATAAACGCAGCAAAAGAGCAAAAGTATAAGCAAACTAGAAATTGCTCAGCCAGGCAAGACAACAAAGAACAAACATTCCATTCCCCAGTAGCCCTTCCCTAACCCTGGCCTTAGAATTATGGTGTAATTGTAGCAGGATTTCCAAGCAGGGAGAAGAAACACCCAGACCACAGAGTCCAGTGGCAAGTCCACAGGTAGTCTGTAACTCGCCCTCAGAATGGGGAACTTCTCTTAAAAAGACAGAATTTGTGAGCAGTGTGCCAGGGTGGTAACTCTATCTAGAAATCAGCCTGATGCAAAAATGGGGAAGTAAACACTTTCTGACCCATAATGCCAGGAAATCATCACCTCCTTCTCAAATGCAGTGTCAAAGGTAATATGTGCAACTCCTAAGAAAGAACAGGGCACTAAAGGAAGTTGCCCTTTTTGCTTCCTGTCATGTTACAAAATGTTCAAAGAGAATGCTCATCTTGTTGGAGATACAAAGAAATATTCTGACATCAGCCCTTCTCTCTACACAGTGAAGAATTAACCTAACACAGTCATCAAGAAACAAGGCAAAACCTGCCTTTTAAAAGAAATTGGCACAGAGAGAGAGGGTGGAGTATACCTTGCAGGCAAGGAAGCAGGACAACTCTTCCAGAAGGAATTCAGCTTACTACTTGGTTAAAAACACATAGAAACCTCAACACACACAACACAAAACTCCAGGCACTGTCTGTAACTAAACAAAAACCTACTTGGTGTCCCACTGGCTGCAGTCACAGACAGTGCCACTCACTGCAATTCCCAGTATTGAAACACCCTAAATGGGACAGCTCAGTCGTAAGTCATTTTGGAAAGTTCTGAGATGTGGTTTTTCTCCAGAGTCCCATCCAGGTGGCTTTTCATGGACAGTATTCCTGTGAGTAATTACCACCTTTCTAATAAAATGCCTAACAAGAAGGTAAGTTTGATGCCAAGTCTAGGCCTTTGCACAACACTAATTTTTCAAAGCTGCAATGTAATTGAAAGGGAAAAGAGAAGAAAAGAAAAGATCTTCTCAAACTGAGACATCCACAGTTCTCTTTTTAAACATTCCATAGCTGAAAACAAAGATAATTAAAACAATTTAACTGCTCCTTCCTAAATGCTTTTTTCTGTCATTTACAAAGAGCAAGCCCTGACTTCAAGATAAGGCTCATGCCTGCTGTACTGGAACCACACATCTGAAGACAGAAGATCAGCCTAGCTGAGAAGGGGCATCCCTCCTCCAAAACACTGGTTACATTAAATCCTCCTCCTTGAAGAGACACCGCCAAAGAGACCACGGCTCAAAGACATCCAAGCACCCCTTCCACACCACCATGGCAGTGCCTCTGGCCTTTAGCGCGGCTCCTTCCTCGCCGGCAGGTGAGGATGTGCCGGGACTTACAGAGCTCAGCCCGGCCGCGCCCCCCGCCCGCCGCTCCCGGGTGATGCGGCTCGCACGGCCCCGCTCGCAGCCGGCACTGAACCCGCTCCGCCGGAGGGCCCGGGAAGGCCGGGCGGGTTCCCCCCGCAGCTGTCGGGGTCCCCCCGGGGCTGTCGGATCCCCTCCCGAAGCCCCGCTTACCCCATGCTCGCCGCCGCCGCTCGCCCGCCGCCCGGCCCCGCGCACGTCACGGCGCCCGCACCGCCCCTTAAAGGGGAGCCCCGGCGCTGCCGAGCGCCCGAACCCAGCACAGACATCCCTCAGCCACATACAGCTCGGGCGTCCCCAGCACAGGAAGGACAGGGAAGGGCTGGAGAGAGCCCAGGGTTGTTGGCAAGATGTGCACGATGTTGATAAGAGGGCTGCAGCAGCTCCCCTAAGGAGACAGGCTGGGAGAGCTGGGGCTGCTCAACCTGGAGAAGAGAAGCCTGTGTGGACAGCCCCCAGCACTTCCCAGTGTCCGAAGGAGCTACAGGGAGCCGGAACTGGAGTGACAGGACAGGGAGTAAATGGGTACAAACTGAAAGAGAGTAAATTTAGGTTGGCTTTTAGGAAGAAAGGTTTTACTATGAGGGTGGTGATGCACTAGAACAGGTTTCCAATGGAAGCTGTGGATGTCCCAGTCCTGGCAGTGTTCAAGGCCAGGCTGGATGGGCCTCCAGTAAGTGGGACCTGTGTCCCTGGCCAGAGCAGAGAGAGGCTGGGAATAGATCACCCTTAATGTGCATTCCAACCCTGTAACATTCTGTGATTAATCCCTGTCCTCTCTTCATCATCTTCTGCACTGTGAAAAACTGACACATTTTTACAGCAGGACTCCTGTCATCACCAATATAGGCTTAAAGGAATTCTTTCCAAGACTGAAAGAGATGGAGAAAATTGACAGAAACTAACTGCAAAAGATGCTAGAACACCAAGGACCTACTTCAAACAAAAGCAGATTTTCTTCCAGAGCCACTATGGATTTTCTAAGAGCACAAAGCACAGAGAAATGGCCATAAACTGAAACAGAGGATGTTCCACCTCATCGTGAGGAAGAACTTCTTTATGTTAAGAATGGCAGAGCACTGGAAGAGGCTCCCCACAGAGTGAGTGGGGTCTCCCCTCTGGAGACATTCAAGTCACACCTGTGTCAGCTGCTCCAGGTGACCCTGCCTTGGCAGGAGGGTTGGGCTGGATCCCCAGAGGTCCCTTCCAACCCCAACTGTTCTGTGACTCTGTGCTAATGCTTCAAACTCCTGTTCAGCAGGGAGGATGCAGATTATTATACAGAGAGACCATTCAGGTCTACATAGCAACACACAGCTTCTTCCTCATGTCTTTCCTTCTTCCAACACACACAGATTTTGAGTGTTCCAAACTCTTAACACACAAATTAGTATTTCTATTTTTGTATTCTAGCAGCACAGAATCATGGAATTCTTTTGGCTGGAAAAGATCTTTAAGATCACAGAGTTCAACTGTTAACCCAGCACTGCCATGTCCTGATTACACAATGAAGAACCTCTATACAAATCCCATTTTAAAAGCTTGCATGGCTTACCTGGGGCCAGAAAAGTCTAAATCAGGATCCTGAAAAATGTCCGAGTCAGAGATCCTGTAACAAGAGAATTAAACTCAAAAAAATGGAATTTATTACTTATTAAAGTTACCTAACCAAGTTTCAAGTGCTTAAGCAAGGTAATGTACACTAAAAGGAGAGATTCTTTTGGTTGCCTGTGGTGCTAGAAGTATGGACTTGACAATAGCCTGACAGCACTGTTCCAAGGCAGTTTTGCAAAATCCAAAAACAAATAGACCATAGATACAGAGCAGCTGTGGATAAATGCACTTACTGCATTAGCCCTAAGTAAATAAAGTTAGTCAGTGATTAACAACAAAAATCAACAAATACAGCTTTTTACTAAGCTCACCTTCACCATTAACCAAGCTTAGTTTCACCCAGGTATGCTCTGACAGGCATCCCTGCTTTGGGGAGGAGAGGAGCAAGCACAGCAATTTGTCCACCAAGTGGGGCCATATTCTCATCCTCCACACAGAAAAAAACAAACACCAATTTTATTAGGGTTTCTGTTACCTTCAGTCAAACTGAACCAAAGGCAGAACAGAAGTGTGACATTTCAGTGTCACTCCCTCCTCCACCTGGCTAAGGATCTCTGACAGTCTTTGCTCCACACTACCACTGCACATCATCGTGGCCTCCAAGGAGCAGATCTGCACTTTGAACAAGTCCTCTTATGCCTGGGTGAAGGGGAGTGATGCTCACTTTCCCTGCAGGGATGTGGCTGCTCTTCTGTGCTTCACAGAGACAACATCGAGCTCAGGCCAGTGCTTCACCCCAGACATCCTCCAGTGGTTAAGCCCTGCCTGAGCCAGGTGCAAGATAAGCCAGTGGCTCGGCTCAAGTTTGCACTCAACCAGCCTCATTCATTCTCCACAGCAAGCCTGGCAATTTTTTTTTCCACATTCTCCACTCTGTGACTACAGTAATAACTCCACAATAGGTGGTTTTAGAGTGTGTCTTCTCTGCTCCTTTGGGATGCCTTTCCCTTGGTAACATTCTCCATCTGGAGCAGGTACCAGTGGTACCTATCTGGTGTCCTTGAGCATGCTAAAATGTGAAGTTAAGCTTTCAGTAACAAGCACGTTCCACATGACATAGCAATACTGACAGTGACAACCATTTTAACAAGCATCAATGCATATTGTACCAGGCCTTGAAGCCCTCCCACAAAGGTAAAAAAAAGCATATCCCAACCAGTTGGTGGATGCAAGTTTCCTCATTTTCTCGGCGATCTTCTTTACAGTTTCCAGAGGGTCTTCAGCATCAGGAGACCTTCAGAAAAATTACACAGAGTGTAAGTATTGAAAAATTATTAAGACGACACAAATCAGTTCATGCATTAATTTATCCAGCTCATTGTTCCCTTTCTACAAGTAACAAGCATTAATGTTGATCCCTGATAGAGCTCTAGAAGAGAAAGGTCTTTTAGGAAGATTTAACCATTAAACAGTGTGGTTTTGTCATTTGATGACAGAATTGTAATGTGTTGTACACACTCAGTTTGCCTCATAACTTTCATTAAGCTGATTGCACTGGAATTTTTGTTCATCAAATTTTAGGAATACATTAAAGCAGCAGTATCAATCCAGACAAGATCCACAGCAGAAATCAGGACAGGATTGTGCAAGTTGTACCTCACCAAAATAACCAGTATATTCCTGACAATCCTCACCCAGAACTGAGAAGAGTTACACACCAATAGTTAGTAAGTAAAGGAATAATCATACAAAGTCTTTTTCTCATCCTGATAAGATCACCTAAGTTAACATTTAAAAATGCTGAAAGCACTTGGTACTTTCGGTATACCGAAATACTTTGTGAAATTACACAGGAAGGCAACCAACAAAAGGTCTTACAAACCAAGTATTTCCTTCTTACACAGAGAGTAGCTCATCTTCATTAAGCACCTCTAGCCAAATGTTCACACAGACATAAGCACTAAACTGCATGAAAATATGAGATGCTGGTATTACTTTCTTCACTATATCTGATAGTAGCTACCAAATTACTGTAAAGATTCAAAAGAGCAACATGAGTTGCCAAAAAGTTTAAAAATACCAAAAGGCCCTAAAATCAGTTAGAATAAAATGTTAAATTTTCCTAGAGATTTGCCTTGATGGAAAAGATGCAACACCACTGCATTCACTGTAGGTCTGGATTTCCCTGCGACTTGGTTGTTTGTACCTGTTGCTTTGTTTACTTCACAGAAAATCCTAATCCTGATAATCCACTGCAGAAAACAGAGATGTCATACAACAGATTCTTAGAACTAAAATCAGTCCAGCAGCATTCCCACTGCAAGCATCACCTGGTGCAGCCCTAGTGGTAATCAGTGGGGATGTTCAGGGACCAGGATGGCTCCCTTAGGGAACATCCCACACTTGCCAGAACTGCATTGGGCTGACACATCCTTAAGATACTGGCTGTTTTCTCTGTCCTTGCCCTCCCAAGCCTGAGTAACTGCACCATAAGAATAGCATATTAAAAGCTTTTAACTGCCACCAAAAAAAACCTTCTCAAAGGTTAAGCAAAATCATTTCCCAAGAAGGGTATCACTTCATTTTTCAGTGACAAATCCTGCAGTCAGCTCGTTTCTATTCATCATTCTCCTTCCTATCACATGAACAAGACATACCCTGGTATCTTGCTCCTAAACCACACTCCATCCAAAAAAGCTCAAATTCCTTCAGGTGTAGTTGTTCAGAGAAAGAAAAAGAAAAAAAAAAAAAGAGGAAAAGACAACTTTAACATCTGAAAATTCAGTCTTCACACTCTGGCATCAAGAAATACCTGAATACTGTTGCCTGGAATAAATCACAAAACTTTTCCAAACAGTGTTAAAATGATAATATGAATGCAAGTCTTTAATTGACAGCCTTAATGGTGCACAATACAGTGATATGCACACACAATACAGTATTTTTACATTTTTTCTAAGGTTGATTAGAATACCTATCAAGTATTGTCCAGTAAGAAGAGCAGTTGGTTAGGTCATTTCCCCCTGGCTTCTGCCCCATTGGAGCCCTCCCCAATCTTTTTTAGCCTACACTTTACTGTGTCTACAATACAAGCTGCAAAACGAAGTGTCCTTGCTAGACTAAAGGCAAGACTAAACAGAATTTCAAGAATGTATTAGTAAGGGTTTGGTAAACTATGAAGGAGGACAGGAAAAGTACTAGAAGTGAGAATTTTGTATTAACAGCCTACAACGTTACAAATACATGAAAAATATATAAAAGCTAAAAATATTTAGGCATCAGAGACAACAATAAAAAGAAAAACAAAAATCTTTTAAGGGCTTAAATATGGAGGTTCATTAAATAGAAACAAAGAGGAACTTCTGTACCCATAGCACAGTACTTTTTACAGCTCTACATGTGCTTACACATGGTCAATCAAATTTTTCTTCTGCAGACACCTAATACCACCTGACTCCTCCCTTCCTCCTCTATCCCTAACAAGGAAATGACAGGTAGCTAAACCAATACAGAAATACTTTGTGAAATTACACAGGAAGGCAACCAACAAAATTCCTCCCTTCATCTTACGATTGTACTACTGCAGCACAATAAAATAACAAGGAAAACCAAAGGCCTACGCCAGTTCTCAGGTGGCTGAGCTGAGCCAACAAGGGCCCCAGCACACGAAAGAAGAATTTGGTGCCTCTGCTTTGTTCCTCTCTTCCTCCATCAGCTGTGGCATCCATGAGACCCTTTCTCAAGTGACTGAATTCTCCAGCCCATCAACTGATGGCACTTCTTTCCCCCCAGCCAGATGGTTTAATTATTTGAATCACCTGAGAACAGCTACACCCAACCCAACACAATCCAGTTACTGAGGGGTTCCTCCTATCCTGCAGGGCATCAGCATGATGATTTCACACCATCAGTACCACACAAAACCTTTAAAGACTGACCAAGTTCCATCTCAAGAGCAGAGCTGCCAAACTCTTCCCACCCAGTCCCCAGTCACTGCAATAAGTACTAACTTCCACCCCTATTTATTCAAGAGCAACTTACATACTGTTACAGCTATAGCACCTTTGTAGTCAGTCAGCTTAAAGACTCCTTTTTCTAGTGCTCATACCTTGAAGTACTTACAGATAAAACTCTGACCATGTCAGCCACACTCATTTCAGCTCAGCCCCCCAACAGAACAAACTGTGATCCTGGATTACTCTGACCAAGTCAAATGTCTTTGTGCATATCACAAGCAACTTTTCTGCACAGGTTTGTGCAGAACTGGATCTCCCTGACCAAGTGATACCACTAATATAAAATATAAAGAGTGCTTCTCCTTCTCTGAGACCTCACCAGCTAAGTTCTGTGATCACATCCACTTTTTCTAACGACGAAGTTGGGGAAGACCACATGGTACATCCTCTAAGCACAATAACAAATTAGCAACAGATAGGGCTTGTAAAAAAACCCCAATTATCAATAATAGCATTTGATGTATGAACTCAATCATCAAACAAGCTTACGTAAGTACGCTGTTTAAGTGATATCATCACTGAACACCTCAGTGTTTCTATTGTCTTCCAGTAAAACGGTAGAATTTACTGAGTCGGGGTGAAAAGGTGAAGTTTTTTGATTAGATGCTTCAAGAATAACCCGCAGTCACTTTAGTACATCATTACCTTACCTTAGTTACCAGCAGCCCCTATCATCACGTCCCTGCTGGCCGACACCACGGCTCAACACAAACTCACCAAACTTCAGCAGGACTTTTCCCTCAGCAGGATTTTCCCCTCAGCGGGACTTTCCCAAATTCCGCGCCAAAACAACTGTGGGCACCTCCCGCCGCCGCCGCGTGCCCCCAAAACCACGGCTCCAACGTGTCCCTAAAACCAGGGTTCTACAGCCCCCAAAACCACGGCTCCAAGGTGTCCCTAAAACCAGGGTTCTACAGCCCCCAAAACCACGGCTCCAACGTGTCCCTAAAACCAGGGTTCCTCAGCCCCCAAAACCACGGCTCCAACATGTCCCTAAAACCACGATTCCACAGGCCCCAACACCACGGCTCCAATGTGTCCCTAAAACCAGGGTTCTATAGCCCCCAAAACCACGGCTCCACGTGTCCCCAAACCCACGGTTCCTCAACTCCCAAAGCCACGGCTCCAAAATGTCCCTAAAACCAGGGTTCTACAGCCCCCAACACCACAGTTCCTCAGCTCCCAAAACCACGGTTCCACGTGTCCCCAAAACCACGGTGCCTCAGCTCCCAAAACCACGGTTCCACGTGTCCCCAAACCCACAGTTCCTCAGCTCCCAAATCCACGGTTCCACGTGTCCCCAAAACCACGCGCTCCTCAGTCCCCGCCCCGGCACGGGCGGCAGAGCTGAGGGCGCTGAGCTCGCAGCCTGGGGCTCCTAACGCGGGGGGCTTCGGCCGGGCCTCGCCGGGGGATGTGATCACCGCCTCCGAAAGCGACGCGGAGCCCCCCAACCCCCCCGAGCACCGGAGCCCCGCCGCTCCCCGCTCCCGCACCTTCCCGCGCTCACCGGCCGCCGGCAGCAGGAGGACGAGGAGGAGGCAGAGGCCGAGCACGCCCCGACACAGCGGCGGGAGAGCGGCCGCGCCCCGGGGTGCGCAGGCAGGGGGCGGCCCGCGGGAAGCGGCCGAGGCTCCGGGCGGGACGGGGCGGGGCGGCCCCGGCTCGGGAGGGCGCTGAGGCCGTCCCCGGGCCCCGATCTCAGTTCCCCATTCCCCACTACCCGATCCCTGTGCCCCGTTCCCCGTGTGCGGCTCCCGTTCCCCAACGCGGCTGCGGCAGTGCCAACTGAAGGCTTCTTTCTCCCTGAGGGGACGCCTCACCACAGTATCACAGAGTCATTTAGCTTGGAAAGGACCTCTGAAGATCATCGAGTCCAACCTTTGACTGATCACCACCATGTCAATCACACTGTCAAAAATAGGTTAGAAACTGTTGTAAAATAGTTGATAATTGTTAAGCATGTACTGTTAAAAAGTTTGGTTATTATATTGTTAAGGGGTAGTTATAAGAAATACGGTACTCAGCGTACCGTATTACACCTAAGTAAAGTGCACCGACCCCCAAGCAAAGCCAGCCACCCTGGACAGAACTGTAAGGGACAATCAAGCGCCTTAACCATAATGCAAATGAAGGATCCCAACAGAAACCAATCCAAAGGAACAAAAAACTGTATAAAAAGGGAGCATCCAAGCCAGTGGGATCGTATGCTGCTCCACCTGGAACATCAGGAACATCTCTGCCCAAGAAAGGAAGAAGATCCAGCGCTGGCTCTGCAGCATCCTCGCTTGTCAGGAACGCTCCTGCTCGGCCCGCAGGCCCTCCAAGCTCTGTGACCCCAAGCAAAGCCAGCCACCCTGGACACAACTGTAAGGGACAATCAAGCGCCTTAACCATAATGCAAATGAAGGATCCCAACAGAAACCAATCCAAAGGAACAAAAAACTGTATAAAAAGGGAGCATCCAAGCCAGTGGGATCGTATGCTGCTCCACCTGGAACATCAGGAACATCTCTGCCCAAGAAAGGAAGAAGATCCAGCGCTGGCTCTGCAGCATCCTCGCTTGTCAGGAACGCTCCTGCTCGGCCCGCAGGCCCTCCAAGCTCTAGGCCTTATAATAAAAGGTGGGATCACTTGAGCTCCAGGAGTGTGTCCCCGTTTATAACAAGACCATGGCACCAAGTGCCACATCCAAGCTTGCCAAGGTGCTTGTTCCCTGAATGAATCACTTCTGTCAGCATCTAGTTAATGGAGTTATGTCATGCCCTAGCCTTGGAAGGCCAAGCAAAATACAGAAAGGCTGGTGAGAAAATCCCAAGCACCAGAGTTTGGCTTGGAAGGTGGTTGGTAAAGAGGATCTCTGGGAACACTAAGGGCAGGAGCTGAAAGAAGCAGTCACTTCCAGCAGTGTCACACACCTAATATTTTAGGACTTCTGGGAAGTTCAGGTTGCTATCCTGATCCTGAACTGCATTTCAGACCTGAATTCTTCAAGGCTGGATTTCACATTCTTTTTCCCTATTCTGGTTGTACTTGAGCCATTGTCTGGTTGTTGTCCCGGCAGGTTCCTTAGTGGACTCTGATGCTGAAGAAATGTTCTGGATGCCTGGGCACTCCACCTGAGCCCATAGCCTGGTCTGCCTTCCCCTACGGACTGCTCCTGCCTCTGGATCAAAACCTGTGCTGCAGCACTGTTGCTAAAGAACACCAGGATTGATGAAGCAGCCCCCTTCTCAGTAAGTTTCTGAGGGTAAATGGCCTCTGCTCTTTACTTCCCTCTGGTTTCCTTTTTTCCTTCACAAGACATCCTCACAGGCCTTCCAGAAGGTGTCTCAAGGAAAGGGTTCAGTCTCCCCTACCCTGCCTGCTTTCTAGCATATTGCAGAATCTCTCACAGGAGAGGAAGCTCAGTGTGTTAGGTGACTTGGGAGCACTGGCAGAGGTAAATGGTCAGCAATCCAGAGGCTGGTGCAAGCCTCTTCTACACAGAATCCCTTGTTTATTAAAGGTAAATTCTTCAGTCTGTTTGGATCCAGTTGAAGAGCCAGGACAGTTTCTTGACCATGTCTTAGGTAACAGGTGTAGTGTATGCCAAAGTCTTGGGTAGGTCCAGACTTGTGACTAGGAGGAAGATATGCCAAGTTCAAGAGCTTTCCCAAAGTGGTTTATAGGAAAAGGCTATTTCTTGAGCTCCACCAATGCTATCACCAAATGCCTGTGTGAATTGTGGATTGTTTTCCGTGCCTGACCTGAAGGTTGTATGTGAGTTCAAGAACTGTACTAAGTAGATTGTTGGCATATTTGCACACAAGTAAATATTGACAGAAGTGGAGAAATTCTGTTGCTTTCCAGAATTGGTCAGTGAGTCTACATCTCCACTGTGGCCCACTGTCTGGTGTTAAGATGGAAAAAATGACTGAATTGTGTGGTGTTGTGATTTCCTCATACCTTAGGAGAGTGAGACTGCAAAGTTATTGTTTCTCAGGCAGAAACCTTTACATTTCAATGAGTCTCCTGTAAGAGGCCTGGGTTTAATAGCAAGGAGAAGCTGCACAAATCAAACTTCAGGACACAGAGCATTTTGTCCCCAGTGGCTCAGTGTAATGGTTCTGTGGCCAGATACTTTTGTCAGGCCTGAGAGAGCCTCCCAGTGCACTTTATTGTGCTGGTAAGTGGGGTCAGGGCCAGAACTGGGGCACGGTGCATGGCAGGTCCTGCAGCATCTGGGCTGCCTGTGGGGATTCTGGGCCCAACGCTGCAGGCTGGAGCAGTCCTGGATCCACACAGGCCCAGGGGTGCTGGAGCCTCTGACATTTTATGGATCTGGGGAGACACAAGAGGACCCTGATGGTAGCTGGCTGGTGGTGCTGGGGCTGCTGGAGTTGGGTGCTAGCGAGCTCTGTGGGTGGTGAGGCCCTGGCACAAGTTACCCGGAGAAGCCATGACTGCTCCATCCCTGCAAGTGTTCAAGGCCAGACTGGAAGTGGTTTGGAGCACCTGGTCTAGTGGGAGCTGTCCCTGCCCATAGCAGGGAGGTGGAATTAGATTATTTTTCAGGTTCCTTACAACCCAAATAATTCTGTGAATCTATCTTGAAAGTGTTAGAAGCTCCAGTCCATGCTCCCTGGGCCCTTGTGGATCCAAGACTGCTGCCATTTGCAAAGCCGGACCCAGAATCCCCACAGCCAGCCCGGGCACTGCCACAGGACCTGTTGTGGACCGTCCCCCAGTCCTGGCCCTGATCCCACTCCACAGGCACAATAAAGCGCACTGAGAGGCCCCACGCTCATGTGTCGGTTTCCTCCTCCTCCTCTCTGTCCAAGGGCAGCGTGCAGGGTCTGGCCTAGAGGGTCGCTGTCTCCCCGGGTGTCAGCAGCACCTGCCCTGGCCTCCTCCGCGTCCACGGCCGAGAGTTTCGCGTCTCGGTGGCCCCGACCTTCCTCGGGTTCCTCCAGGGAAGTCCACACAAGCACCGGGGGATCTCTGCCCCCGGTCCTTCCCCGCGGCAGCGCACCGCGGCCCGGCCCTGCCCGAGCGCGCAGAGAGTCCCTGCCGTCTCCCGGCAACGCGTCCCGCCCGCCCGCCATGGCCCTCGCGGGTCGCCGTAGCGGCGGCGGCGGCGGCGCGGCCGGGCCGG